TCCTAGTTTAAACGGTGTACGATTCACGATGTTTTACTATGATATAAATAATGAGGGATGTTTATATGATCAAAAAATGAATTTTTTGTGTATGTAAATTTTCACCGTAAAAAACGGCGTAAAGCTATGAATAAAATAAAAGGAATGGCACAAACTAGAGGTCTCTAGGTCAATCCTAACATTTGAACATTTCAACTTACTCCCAAACTACCCCTTTTGGGGGGGAAGGTGAAAATCTATATACACCAAAATCTTCCTTTTTTGATCATATAAACATTCCCTGAATATTATAATTGTATCTCTATTAATAAAAAAAAACAGGGGGGTATGTATATATGAGACACACGGGGTATGTTTAAATACATTGATCACTTATATATCTACGACATAAGTTTTAGTATTTCAGAATATTTTTACGTCGAAACATTGGATCAGTTCTTCCGCCAAAAGCAATACACACTAAAAGGTTTCTTTAAACCCTAGCCAACCAAAAACAATAAAGAATCAAAATTATAATTACGATGAAAGTTGTGTCCACTACTGTATCAAATCACTTTCTTGTGTCACACGATCGTGTTAAACACAAAACGACATTGATATACTTAACTATAATGTTTCACTGTTTTATGTAAATGTAACCGTATATTTCCAAGTCTAAGAATGTGGAATCTTACTGTATTGAGAAGTCGAGCCTTATTATGACTATAATGTTTGTTACTAAACATGTTATCTAATCTCAACCCCCCCCCCTTTTTACTCATAATTTCTCTCATTACTGAGATTACGGTTTTGTGCTTGCTTGTATACAACATACAACGTTAATACAGTGCTATGGACTAAGCAAATTAATAAATTACCACGGGAATAAATAAGTCATTAGAAATCTAAAAAAAAACTTCACAATGCAAATTATGAAAAATGACATATTTATAGCAATAGAACGATCCTTCAAGCTTGTTTTTATATTTTGGGAAAGGTTAAAGTATTTTGTTTTCATAATATGAAATGAAAAGTAACAAAATGCATAGCCTACTAATGTAAAACTTATTTATCCATTATGCCCTGCTAAATGAGCTAAGGCAAAGGATTCAATGAGACTTTTACTAGCGATGATACCAGCAGTATTTTATTTCAGATTCACCCCAAATGAAATCTTTTACAGCACAATCATCACACAAACATACATTAAACACGTCATATGCATCACTGATGAGAAATGTGAATTTAAAATTATGTATGGGGACTGCATTGGACTGCATTGATAAATTGAATAATTTGCTTTCCATTGTATAGGAGGAGGCCGATCAAACACTTTTCAGGGTTGGTTGATAATTTAAAACACTGTCTTCTTCTTTTCAAATAGCTGAAAATGCATGTGAATGTATTATGAATGCTATAGATTTCAGCATAATTTTATGTGAATATATTAAAACATGTCTCAGTTCACACATTGCACCCTCAGATAAAGAGCGAATTTTCAAGTCATTTCTTGTAATGTCATTCATAAGAGTTCCATTCGGATGATGAAGCAACAAAAGTGACGTGACGGGTACTTCCTCGGCACTGGCACATTAGAGGCCAACAACCGACTTGCAAAGAGCTTCGCCAGTCGTATAAGTTAATTATACAAATAATAATTATTATTAGGGGCCGCGAGGAGTTCTTCTGGAGGTTGCCCGAGGGACCAGTGGCGCCGGACGACTCCTCCCCCGACCGTCGCAGAGACCGTAGTCGCCGCCAGTCGCCGCCGCCGCGGTAGCTGCCGCTCACCGGCACAGCGCCATACTCAGTGCATATACACACTATAAACAGTAGACGGAATACCAGGACAGTGGCATACAGTACACAGTGCACACTCACACTATACACTATACACAGTGCACAGTGCATACACACACTATACATTATACAGTACACAGTATACAGTGCATATACACACTATAAACAGTAGACGGAATACCAGGACAGTGGCATACAGTACACAGTGCATACACACACTATACACAGTACACAGTGCATACACACACTATAAACATTACACCAGAACACTATACACGATACATGGCATAGCCTACTAGCACAGCGGCACATACACTCACTCTACACTATACAAAATACACAGCACCCCATAACATTAAACACAATGCACAGCACAAACCACACATCACCCCTGAGCAATATAAACAATATACATACTGTACAACAACCAAACTAAACAGCAGATGCACACGCCACACTTAATACAAAAACAAAGTGAGAGTGCATTACACAGCACATGCACACAAAACATAGAACATAACTCAAAGCAAACAGGATAACAGCAGTCACACTATACACAGTACACAGTACGCCAACCAGCTCACTAAACATAATACACAACAAAAAACCACCGTGATGGCTGACCGCACACAACCAATATACAATAAACTTCTGATACAATAAGATTGTCGTTAAGCTGTTCGTGGATGTAAATCTCAATACACTGTTTTTCTCATAGGCAGGTTATCATTAGGAACTTTGGTGGCGACTATGTATATATATACTGAATTATAAATTATAATGTTGTAGTTAGTGGGAAATCGGATGTTATTAATAGCCTACTAAGTAATCAAATAACTTAATTTTTTTTTTTTTAATACATCCCATACTTGCATACAATCTATTATACTTATCAATACTCTTGTCAATATAAGGACTACTACACAAACCATATAATTAATAGGGATTTATTTAACAAGTCACGTAGTAAAAATAGTTCTTCGCTATCTATTCTTATTACGTACTACAGTTAATTAATCAAATACACTAGGTTTAATCATGTTTAAACATCGAAAGAACCCTAGTGTAGTCGTGGTGTTTTTCTGCTTTATTACTAATTGCTGAAGATAGAAAGCGATCCTACGGAAAATCTCTTTTCTTTGGTTTTAAACTCGATTTTGTCATTGGAGCAAGTTGTCAAATAAAAAATAAAAATTTTGTAGATTTTTGGTCAACGATGTTTTTTTTAATTGTACTAATTAAATTTATAAATACAATCTCAGGATGAAGAAACAGGTAAGCCTACCTAAAAAACTCGAGATAACTTTTAATGCCACAGAAAATGTCACTCGCTTGATATTGTCAATCGTCCCCTGAACACATTATTCGGTGACTGTTGGATAAGGAGTCTTGTGCTTGTCTTCTGTGGTGTTTGGTGTGGAAACAAATGGAAACTCTTGAATGGTTAAGAAGTTGTTAAACGCAATATTGCCATTAAAATTAAGACCTCTTCTCGGTGGCTTAGTATAACACTATTAAAGCCACTGTACTATTAGCAAAAGAAAAAATACTAAATTAAAAACTTACCCTTAGATGGATTTTGTCTTTGTATGGTATTAAATGTGACGATAATTTATTTAGCTTTAACCACCTTGGGATTTTTTTAACCATTAGATTTAATAGTTTCTTAAAGTGGGCCAATATTGACTAAACCACCAGAAATAAAACCTGAGATAGTAAATGCCCCACCACAGCAAACCTGCAGCCTAAAAGAATTTTTAACTGCCTGATTGGATTTTGTAACATTTATTCCATATTTAAATAGCAGTAGAATTAAGAAGGTCTGAGTTGGATGCTACATAAAGTGCACCTAGGTGTAAACTCAAATTATTATCTCAATAGGATGTACAACGGACTACAGTATGAAATGAATAAATTTGCCAAATTTGATCGTTACATATTACTAAACAAGCAAACTAAAACAGTTTATTTATTCATTATCCATACAAAAAACACGTGATTTTTTTAATCCGTAAAATTACGCCTATTACAACGTTTTGAAATACTAAATTACTGCATTTCTATTTTTAAGCTATACCAAACAGTTTAAAAATAAATTGAAATATCTATGTTTCGAAGGTAAAAATGAAGAAACTCCAACTTTTACGCTATATAACACCGTTCCCATAGTCAGATCATGCTGGTTCGCGAACTCTTTCAAATAAAGTTATATAGGCTAGGCATATTAGGAATTAAGGTGGCAGTTAGCGGAAAGTTTAGGTACAGTCCTAATCATCACTTTACTTTATGTTTCTTGGGTCGCTGAACACGAATATGAGGTTTGCTGACAGATATTATGACCGGAACATTGTTTATTTTGTGAAAAACCTTAAAATTTGGTCACTTTTTTAGGTTTTTGGGCTAAATCTCCGTATTTATGAGTATTTGAGAAGACCCTGCTTTGTAAAATTAAAGAGGACAAAATTTGCTACAAGTTTCCTATATAATATTTGTTTCTACGACGAACCGGATTAGTTGTTCATCAAATAAATGTATATTCAAAAAAATGAAGCAAACAATAATGAAAGAGTTTAGTCTATATCGTTTGTTACATGTGGTTTTCTTCCAGAGTTTCCGGGTGAGTTTTAAGTATACGGTTTATATAAAATTGGCATCCAAGACAGTTGATCAATAAATCTTATTTACAAAATCCATAAACATGATATCAAACTATGAACATGATTGCCGTTTTAAGTATATAAGAATACTGTACATTGTGAACGTTTTTCAATATTGAAGGCTACTGAAGAATACTGTACAATGTTTTTCACACAAAGAGATAATGACAACCTAGCTCTTTAATACTTTATATTTTATATTTTAACAATACAGGGTAATGTGATTCTAATAACTCGACCCCATCTTATGAAACTCACCCTTTTTGGCATAACGATGAAATGATAAAGATGAAAAAGTGGCATGATTATAATGATTTAATTTATTAGACCACAAAGTTTACCTTCAAACTTTTGCGTTTTGATAAGTATTTGTTTGAACTATTTCAGCATTTTCACAGCACTCCGTGAAAACAAAATAAATAATAAAAATTTGTTTCCAAACGCATGACTGAAAACAATAATATAAATAAACTGCCTGCGTCAATGCAAACTGATATATCGCAGACGTATAACTATATTAATTGTAAAAAACACTATAAAATATTAATAGTAGAATATACAAACCAATCGTATTGGGAAATTCCTTTGACATCCGAATACAATTCTCCATCACAAGTTCAAAATCTAGTTGTAACTAGCACATTGCAAGGGGGGAAGCCATAGTGTTGAAGGGGGGGGGGGTGGAGTTCACCGCAGGTATGTTGGTTGGTTCTGTGTGAAGTGGTGGTGTATAAGGACTCCACCAGCTCCACTAGCACAACTATGAAGAGGAGGTTCTAGAACATCCCCAAAAGGCTCACATCCACAAGTCACAACCACGTCACGGCACTGTCATAACATCTTAGATAAGGAAGAGTCGATTGGGGTGTTGGTCAAAGATTGAAGTACCTCTGAACCAGAACAACAGAAAACATACATATGTAGAACATCTTTGAATTTAGACATTCGATTCCTAAACGACATCGAAAAAAAATTTAGTGAAGACATCCCATCTAAAGAGGTGCAAAGAAAGGAACGGTGCAACCTAGACCCAGAAGTAGAGAAGTGACAACATGTGGACGCGCGCGCGACACACGACAATCAACACGGTACAGCACACGACAGTCCACGGTACACGGTACACGGGAACGCTCCGAGAGATGTTCAGTGTTCACCAGGTGAACCGCAACTGAGATCCACATCCGAGGACAGAAGAAAATTACTTTTCAAACATAATAACACCATCACCGTTTACAGAGTACAAACACTAATTTTCGCCGCTTGTATTTTCCAGAATTACCCGATGATAATCCTGGGGCATATCCATTATTACAATATCTCAGTTTAAAATCTTATTATCGTCCGTTTTTACTTAATTTCAGATCAGTAGTATAAGCGCTAACAGTCCTGATTATAGTATAATTCTAAACGATTACGCTAAACACAGAGTGGGACGAGAAATAGGGCACGTGTGAGCTAGAGGAGGATGGAAACGGCCCGAATCATTATTGAAAATTACCGGCATGATTGGAAAATTGACTGGAGCTTTTATCTTTGATGGCCGCGGCCGCAGTGGCTGCATTTTTTACTACGATTGTCTCGTCTCGATCGATTTTAAACAGACTAATTATTTCAAATAGTTTATGAGTAATTGTTACGAATTGATCGGTCAGTCTTGGTGCCCCTTTCGATTTACATATATATACCACCAAAGATTATTACGTCGTGCACAAACCTCTTTCCATCACAAAAATACTTTATATGTACATTTTTATGTTCATGTATTTGGAATATTCATGTGCAAAATAACAAACGCGACGGTCCAGATGAGAAAAATCATACAATCTAGCTAACGCATGCCATTGCTTTCGACTCATCAATATGCATGGATAATTTTGTTTCTACTTGTTAACACTGACAAACACGTACGACAGGTATACCAACGTTTAACGCTATCATTGATGGATGCGTAAAAATAGGAAGTCTTCTACAAACACGGAATGTACCTTGTAATGGATTATAAAATTTGCTCCCAAGTTAGATGCAACTGAAATACCATGTTTGATTAATAACTGTTAATAACTGTCAACACTAATACTCTAAATATTTAGGGAACAATATTTGAAGAATATATTGTTATAATACCGAAACAATAAACTATTCATGATTAAAGTTGTGCAAATTAAGCCAGTAAAGAGGTTGAAGGATAGAGCAAAAATTACCAATAATGGCCTTATGCCTTGTTTTTCACATACTAACATAAATAAAAAGTTATTCCGCAAAAAAATAAGCAATAAGAATAATTTAGCGGCTCTAAGTATCGCTGCTAATCTACTTACTCAAAGTGGTTGTCCCTAATATTCGTTTTACATGCTTTGCTGTTGTTTTGGTCGTGGACATTTAGATATTTATTATGAATATATATCAAAACTTGGCTGTACATTAAACGCCGAACAGTCGTTAGGGGTTGGGTGATAAATGAAAATGATACCAAAGTCAATTTAAATTTGGAAGAAGCAATATTATGCGTTGGTAAGCATACGCGTAATTCCTTTGTAAAATTACAATTTGTGCCATCTGTAAGTACAGTAACCAGAATATGGGTTAAAACGTTATAATTTCAATGTTTTCTAAACCAAATGTTGCTTAAGGCAATATATCCTCTGAGGCTATATTCAAATCTAACGATTTGGAGGAGAATACAAATAACACCGGTCAGTTTTCAGTGTTTGCATGTATGAATACTATCAATTGTCTATGGTTGTTCAATTTTTGTTGTATTGATTTTTCGATTATTTGACAAACCCAATTTCGGGGAGATTTTTAACGGTAAAATCCTGAAAATAAAATATTTGGCCTAAAATATTTAAAAGTTGTTGCAACAAGACGATGGGTAGCACTAGAAATACAAAAACTTAAACCTTTTTTAATGGTATCTTGGGCCAAGCAAGATAAGAACAAAGATGACAGCAACAATAGTATGGAGTAAGCAAGCTGTACGTGTCATTAACCGTTGATCATGCACGTTCCTTGTTAATACCGTATACATCGATAACTGTCAAAACTATAAAACATGTAAAGTTATCAGTTTAAACAAATAGTTGAGTAAACATCTTCAGTCTGTTATTAATCGAAGACGCTGCAATGTTATGCCCTATCAAGATTATTATATTTGTAGATGAGCATGTCGTGTGGCAAATCATGTCGAAACTAATCCTGACTGAGCTGGTTGAACGTAGTTGAACGTGTGGCAAATCATGTCGAGGCTAATCCTGACTAAGGTGGTTGAACGTGAGGCAAATCATGTCGAAGCTAATCCTGACTAAGGTGGTTGAACGTGAGGCAAATCATGTCGAAGCTAAATCCTGACTAAGGTGGTTGAACGTGAGGCAAATCATGTCGAAGCTAATCCTGACTAAGGTGGTTGAACGTGAGGCAAATCATGTCGAAGCTAATCCTGACTAAGGTGGTTGAACGTGAGGCAAATCATGTCGAAGCTAATCCTGACTAAGGTGGTTGAACATGGCATTCTGCCAAAAACCTTGATCATCTTGGCATGTTTAAAGCTCTTGCCGTCTGAATACAGCGAGTATTATTGCTTCCACGAGTCGCTCTGGTAAATCCCTTCCATCCCATTAATATAGCCTAGGTACCGTTACTTAATAAGATTGATATAATATATATACTGATATAATATTATATCAGTATATATATTATATCAATCTTATATCAATCTTATCTTATCTTATATCAATCTGATATATATCAGATACTTTATGTTTATTCTTGTAAAGTTTTCTCGTATCGAAATGTTTTATGTTATGGTGACTATCAAAATAATGTTAGTTTTTCTTTGTTCAATATAACATCTTTATGATGATTCAGTAGTCATGTAAATAGTTTTAACGCCATCTTCTTGCACGAATTGCACTTTTACATTGATTTACTACCCGTGAGTTTTTCTAAGCTGGAGAACCAGTAGCAGGTAGTAGAAGAGGCATTAAAATCAATGTCGGTAGTCGGAATGTGCAGTAAGCTATTAATCCTGGATACGAGGCATTGTGTGAGGTACATTCTGCACGCATGCTGTAATGATGTTAGCACATAAATAAATCCGGAGTTTTATGTCCACGACTAACCTGGACAGCTATTACCTAGCAAAAATAGGGAATTGAGCAAACACTGTGAGTTTGGCTACAACACATCACCAAGTGTGTGAATGGAAACTCTAATTAACTACCTAGAAAACAACAATTCAGGGTAGTTAAAGAATTATGATAACAAAATCATTTGAAACTGTTTAGCAAAATAGTTAGTTTCAATTTGCATAGTTTGCAAATGCAGCCTTCAAGTCAAACCGTTAATTATTCAGTAAATATCCAAGTAATAATTCCTAAAGATATGCTTTCTTGTATGTTATTATTATGTAAACATTGTTTTTAATTTGTTTTGATTTCAAACACTACGCAAAACATTTTTCCTTTCTTTGTACTTCTCATTTAAAACATTATTTAATTTCGATCAACTGAGTGATATGTCTACATAATATGCGTGTGAAAATCGATATAGTTGTCGTATTAAAGCGAATTTTAAAACAGGAACAAGAAGTACAACCCGTTTAGTTTGCACAGCAATTTCTTTTAAAACTTCCTAAAATGTTAAATATGAGGCCGACAATAATCACCAGTGACCTATAAAATCTATCATCAGAAACTTACTACAGATTCTTACCATGTAGTTGAGATTGAGAGCATGTAATGCACCACGATACAATTCACAAACAAACTTATCATCCCGTGCCATTTTAAAGTTTAATTCATTCAAAAAACTTAAATTTTGTATAAGCCTAGTACATGTTGCTGAAATATTTTTACATTTCAAGTGGTGTAATTGTTAATAAAGAGGTATTTATTGCAGTAAAATATAAAATGTAACACAGATGAACATGGATAAATTGAATAACCAAATAATTATAAAACATTTTTAGTAGGGACATTTTTTCCTCAAAATTGTCCAGAACCAGCCACCTCTGGCCCTAATCCGCATATAGAAGTTTGGTTAGGTTAGGTTAGATTATATAAATATGGTCCCTGAATTTACAGCTGATTCTTTACCTTTGGACTGTACTTTTACAGCAATTTCACTTCAGTAACGAAGAACTATATTTTAGAATTGTAGTGTGTGCGAGGTGGCGGTGGAGTATGTCTGTGTCTGTAACACAGCCGCAGCGCATTAAGACGGGCGTCAGACGAAAAACCATTAAAGTCACATCAGAATCTTGCTACCTGGTCTGGTAATTACAATAATAAAACTGACGGAACTAGATCCCTCGGGCTATCGGTGACTTCACAGTGATCATTTAAATCCTTCATCAACTTAATATTTAAAATATATAATTCTTGACACTATATAATAGTAGATTATAGGAGATACGATTATACGAAGTGAAGTACAAACTAAAATTGTACTTTCATCCTTAAATGTATCTTTAAAGGTTCGCCATGTATTACAAAAATAGTTTAAACGATTGCTGTTTAGTATGTTGCCGACGTTCTAACCAAGAATTAATGTACTTCCGCCTTCCACTATTCGATTTAAGAAATCAAATCTTCGTTTTATCAGTATATAATTCAAAGGTTATTTAATTACAGACAGAGGTACTTAAGGGTAAGGTA